AGTCAATTGAATGTTTAATTGACTTAAAATTTTTTTAAAAAATGAGTTGCCTCAACTGGGATTTGAGCTCCAGACCTCTTGATTCATAAGCAAGCGTGCAAACCTCTCGGCCACGGTGAAGTTATATGTTAACGGCCTGAAGAAAACCTTATTATTCTAAATTAGGGTTTGTAACTCTAACTCTCTAACTATTATTTCGACGCTTAACCTGTTGTTTAACACAGATGTAAATAATCATGGAGCTTACTGTAAGCATGTATATCTATAAAGAATGAAACAATATTAGAAATCTTCGACCATTCAGGAACTACTTTGCTTGAAAATTAATGCGCCTGTCGTTTGACAATCTTTACGCATTGATCTCCCCTGAATTTTTCGGCATTAGTGTACATATAAAGGGAAGTAACCGCTTCAAAAAGTGGACTAATTTAGGCATTTGCAATTAACAGCATTAGGCTCCAAAATTTCGCTACCATTACTTGTTTGGTCTGACGACCCAAACAAATAATGTTTGGTCTGAAGACCCAAACAAATAACAAGAGGGCCATGCTGGCCCTGAGGTCGCTCACCTATATATAGCCCCCCCCCCCCCACACCCATAAGAAGATGTTTCATGCTAAACATCTAAGCTTTAGCTCATTGGGCTTTTTAAAAGAAGATTTTTTTAAGTATTTACTATAAACATATAGTTAAAAACAATGACACCCCTGGGGCGCGGCCAGTTTTGACCCCAGGGCTTTTATTTGAACAAACTTTGTAGACACTTACTAGAAGATGTTTCATGCTTAATATCTAAACTCTAGCTATTTGGGTTTTTTCAAAGAAGATTTTAAGTTTTTGCTATACACATTTAAGGAAAATCAATGACCCCCTGGGCAGGGCCAATTTTGACCCCAGGGCTTTTATTTGAACAAACTTTGTAGACACTCACTAGAAGATGTTTCATGCTTAATATCTAAACTCTAGCTATTTGGGTTTTTTCAAAGAAGATTTCTTTAAGTTTTTGCTATACACATATAAGGAAAATCAATGACCCCCGGGGCGGGCCAATTTTGACCCCAGGGCTTTTATTTGAAGAAACTTGGTAGACACCTAGTAGAACATGTTTGATGCTAAATATCTTAGCTCTAGCTTTTTGAGTTCTTTAAAAGAAGATTTTTTAAAATTTTACTATATGCATATAGGGAAAATCAATGACCCCCTGGGGCGGGGCCAATTTTGACCCCAGGGCTTTTATTTGAACAAACTTGGTAGACACCCATTAGAAGATGTTTCATGCTAAACATCTAAGCTCTAGCTCATTGGGCTTTTTAAAAGAAGATTTTTATTAAGTTTTTACTATTCACATATAATTAAAAACAATGACACCCCTGGGGGGCCAGTTTTGACCCCAGGGCTTTTATTTGAACAAACTTTGTAGACACTTACTATGCTAAATATCTTAGCTCTAGCTCTTTGAGTTCTTTAAAAGAAGATTTTTTAAGTTTTTACTATATGCATATAGGGAAAATCAATGACCCCCTGGGGCGGGGTCAATTTTGACCCCAGGGCTTTTATTTGAACAAACTTGGTAGACACTCACTAGAAGATGTTTCATGCCAAATATCTAAGCTCTAGCTCTTAGGGTTTTTTAAAAGAAGATATTTAAAGTTTTTTCTTTCGGTTGCCATGGCAACCAGAGTTCTGCATGGAATTAAATTCTTTGAACAATTTTTAAAGGTGACCACCAAAGGAACATTCCTGTGAAGTTTGGATGAAATTGGCCTTGTGGTTTATGAGGAGATGTCATTTAAAGTAAAAGTTTACGGACGACGGACGGACGCCAGACGAAAAGCGATCACAAAAGCTCACCCTGTCACTTTGTGACAGGTGAGCTAAAAAAACAAAAGTGATTAGCCGTTGCCACCATTATAGAATCAAGCAAGCCTGCAGACCTGTGCAGTCTGACCTGGTTTGATAATATTGGCTGCTTCAATTTTAATTTTCATCTTGATATCCCTGAAATTGATAATGAACATTCCATAATTTTAAGCGAAAAAGCCATGTAAAAATTTTAAAGTTAAAATTTTAAATACCCGCCGTGATATTATGTTGAAAAATTTTAAAATCTTTAAACCCAACCCAAAAAAGAAGTACCTGTTTTTTATTTTTAAAAATATTTTAGTCAATAGAAAAAACAATTCATTTTAATTAAAAACCCCCAAAAATTACCTGAGTGGTAATTAGCAATGTATCACGACTCCCTAGGCTCTAAAAAAAAATCCCTTCAACGGGGCAATTCTACCCTTACCCAACCTTTCCTGTTACACTATATAAATTTTAGATTTCATTAAAAAAATTTTTTTCATAAAACCACAGGGAGCTACCTTCATCACAAGAATATGATAAAAATTGATAATAAAATTGCATTTCCTAGATATGCTCTTGGAACATATATACAACAAAATATTACATAATGCAAAGTTAGTCCAAAAAGACAACTCTGAATTTTTATTTACACACCCAAACACAAAAAAATGGGTCAAAGACAGAAAAGGCTGGGTTGCATATGTATACAAAATATCACGAGGCTGTGATGTTACGAAAAAAAATTTCCATTGACCCATTAATGTCGAAAATTTAATTCAGTAGGTAAACAGGAAGTGGATTAGCTACACACCTAAAATCGAATCCCACAGTATGGGACCATGTGTCAATGCTGTATGCCAAATATCAAGAGGCTGTGATTAGAAGTTTCTGAGAAAAATGTTACGAAAATTTCCTACCATTGACCATTAATTCGAACAGGAAGTGGATGAGCTGCAGACTTGAAATCAAATCCCACAGTATATATCAAGAGGCTGTGATAAGTAGTTACTGAGAAAACTGTTACGAAAATTTCCTACCATTGACCATTAATGTAAAAAAATCTAACTAATTTAACTAAGTGGATAAACAGGAAGTGGATGAGCGACAGACCTGAAATCAAATCCCACGGTATGGGACAATGTGTCAATGCTGTATGCCAAATATCAAGAGGCTGTGATAAGTAGTTGCTGAGAAAACTGTTACGAAAATTTCCTACCATTGACCATTTATGTCAAAAAATCTAACTAATTTAACTAAGTGGATAAACAGGAAGTGGATGATCGACAGACCTGAAATCAAATCCCACGGTATGGGACAATGTGTCAATGCTGTATGCCAAATATCAAGAGACTGTGATAAGTAGTTGCTGAGAAAACTGTTACGAAAATTTCCTACCATTGACTATTAATGTCAAAAAATCTAACTAATTTAACTAAGTGGATAAACAGGAAGTGGATAAGCGACAGACCTGAAATCAAATCCCACAGTATGGGATCATGTGTCAATGCTGTATGCCAAATATCAAGAGGCTGTGATAAGTAGTTGCTGAGAAAACTGTTACGAAAATTTCCTACCATTGACCATTAATGTCAAAAAATCTAACTAATTTAACTAAGTGGATAAACAGGAAGTGGATGAGCGACAGACCTGAAATCAAATCCCACGGTATGGGACAATGTGTCAATGCTGTATGCCAAATATCAAGACACTGTGATAAGTAGTTGATGAGAAAACTGTTACGAAAATTTCCTACCATTGACCATTAATGTCAAAAAATCTAACTAATTTAACTAAGTGGATAAACAGGAAGTGGATGAGCGACAAACCTGAAATCAAATCCCACAGTATGGGACCATGTGTCAATGCTGTATGCCAAATATCAAGAGGCTGTGATAAGTAATTGCTGAGAAAACTGTTACGAAAATTTCCTACCATTGACCATTAATGTCGAAAAATCTAACTAATTTAACTAAGTGGATAAACAGGAAGTGGATGAGCGACAGACCTGAAATCAAATCCCACAGTATGGGACCATGTGTCAATGCTGTATGCCAAATATCAAGAGGCTGTGATAAGTAGTTGCTGAGAAAACTGTTACGAAAATTACCTACCATTGACCATTAATGTCGAAAAATCTAACTAATTTAACTAAGTGGATTAACAGGAAGTGGATGAGCGACAGACCTGAAATCAAATCCCACAGTATGGGACCATGTGTCAATGCTGTATGCCAAATATCAAGAGGCTGTGATAAGTAGTTGCTGAGAAAACTGTTACGAAAATTTCCTACCATTGACCATTAATGTCGAAAAATCTAACTAATTTAACTAAGTGGATAAACAGGAAGTGGATGAGCGACAGACCTGAAATCAAATCCCACAGTATGGGACCATGTGTCAATGCTGTATGCCAAATATCAAGAGGCTGTGATAAGTAGTTGCTGAGAAAACTGTTACGAAAATTTCCTACCATTGACCATTAATGTCAAAAAATCTAACTAATTTAACTAAGTGGATAAACAGGAAGTGGATGAGCGACAGATCTGAAATCAAATCCCACAGTATGGGACCATGTGTCAATGCTGTATGCCAAATATCAAGAGGCTGTGATAAGTAGTTGCTGAGAAAACTGTTACGAAAGTTTTTTTCCCCGCCCGCCCGCCGCCGGACGCCCGCCCGCCCGCCGCCCAACATTCACCATACTATAACCCGGATTTGCACCAGTGCAACCCGGCCAACAATTAAGTTGACCCATCTGTGTCTAAATTTCTACTCCAGATTCTGAAATTTCTTATTCAGTGTACTGGCTTTCAGGGGAAAGGTATAAATTTAGGTATAAATTTAGTCAATGATTAGTCAGCATTAATGTTTTGTATCTTGGTGTGAAAGGTTTATGGACAACATAAACCATATGTTTGACACCTTCCCATCTACCTAAACCCAGCCCAGCCATTTGCCAATCATATAACATATCCAGGATTTTCAAAATTGAAAAAACTGTTTAAAAATGGTAAACATTTTAATTTAAAATTTTCACATCTGTACCCTATTTAATTAATGCAAATGGTATTTTAATCAATACATTTATCTTTAAGAAACATTTTGAAATATGGTCAATTATGAGGAAAATGTTTTTTCCAACATTTTCTCTCATGTTACCTAAAATATTCATCATATAAGCTTAACCATATGGCTTACCTCAGATTCTGACATGTGCCAAAGTGCAACACCGCCATCCCTGATAAAACAACATACAAGGTATTAATTTGTCATGCCTTTCTTTTTAAATTTTGTTTAGCAAAATTAAAGAATAGAACCAAATAGGCTACACGTATATGACAAACTTGAGTAAACAGAAATTTAGATCACAGTTTACCTAATGGTAAGGCTATTTTTGACTCAAGTCAAGTGTCTTGATTAATAAAACATTTTGATTCATTTTTGACATAATTCGAGCCTTATTTTACCTGAAGGGTATACAACAATCAATGCTCAATACATGTATTAGTTATCTGTGTTAACATTTATATTCAAAACAAGGGAACCCAATAGCTGGTCAATTTTGACGCCCTAGGCATAAAACTTTAGTAGAAGACATCTAGAATATATCAAAATCACATAGTATTTTAGTTATCAAGACAGAAAATTTTAAAGTGTTCTTCATATATGCAAACATAGGGCCATATAACCTGTCAAAATATTTATAATAATATCCTGTAGTTACAACGTATTCATGTATACTTTCAGACTGGCAGTTAAAGGGCTAATGCCTTGCCCAGTTATAGCATATATTATTTCCTGAACTATAACATTTCAGGTTCCAAAAAGGTGTACAAAATCATATAAGCTAATTGCAGATATTTAGAGATACCTCACCTGAAGAAGAAAGCTTCTCTTGGTTGGCCGTTGACCTGGTATTTAGCTGTTATCATTATCCCTTCTATTATATCTGAAAGTCACATTTCAAAAACAATTACTTCTTTACTTGAGCAAAGGTATTAACATATGTTCATTTCTTATGTTTGACCAATAATTAAGAACATTTTGTCTCGCATTTTATATAATTATATATGAAAGAAAGTCATAAACGGGAAAATATCCATAGAAATATGACATGAAAAATCAGCATGCCACAGTCGGGACTTGAACCCATGTCTCTGGATTGCCGGTCCAATATGCTTACCACTACACTACAGTGGCAGTTGCCTTTAGCAGAGAGCTATTTATAGCTTACTTTTACTGCAGTTGGCTGAATCAGTAACTGTTTCATATTATTTTTTGATGGCAAACACATATATAAAGGAGACTGTTTTTAAAATACTTCTCATTCAAAATATTTAAGTACATGTAAATATAATATTGTTTTAAAATTACTCTTACACAGTATGGTCAGCAGGAAAAGTATCTTATATTCTTAGTATTCATTGTAGCAAACATTTTACAGTATTGTTGTATCAGAATTGTTTTAAGCAGCTGATGTCAATTAAGATAGGCAATAGTTGTATTGTGGCCATTAAGTGGTTAAGATATCTGCATGACTACAGTCAAGTTTGTTAAACTACGACAGTGTTTTATTGAACTGGTCAACTTTCTATACGATACCTCTAGGAAGGTGTACAATATCATACACTCCTCCCGAAATTATCTCATTCCTCAGAGCCGTCAAGTTCAGTTCATCCCCCACTGCATAACACATTACATTCATATGATGAAAACCATCCTGAAATATTGAAAAACCAGCCTGAAATATTTCAACAATAATCTAAGATTTTATTCATTTTCCAACATCCTCCTATATAATGTAATATGTTTGCTTAGCAAAAGGCCCTGTCATTATTCACCTTATGCTGAAAAAACATGTGCATACGTACAGGCCTAGCTCTATACTGGTGACAAAAGCTTTTCACTTAAGGTTACAGATAGTTAAGTGTTAAATCAAAGGAAGTGAGTGAGGTATTATATATATATACATGTAATTATAAAAATAAAATGATAAATTGCTTAACTATTTACATCAACAGTCTGTTTCTTCCTAGCAACACGTCTTGATGGTATTGGCTTTGACACTGATACTTTTGTTGTTATGTCTGCCTGTGTTGCATAACCTCTTGCGTGATAGCCCATCATTTGCATACTTCGGTAAAGTCTATTCAAAGAATTTTTTGATAATGCATTATCTTTTATACTGCTTGATAGAAGGAGATGATTCCTTGTATTTCTCAACATCTGTGGGATAAACTGCCCATGATTGTGTTTACACCAAGAACAAACATTCAACGCTTGTTTAGACTTGGGAATGGAATATTGTCTCTTTAACAATGTGGTAACTGGCTGCTCTTGTGTCAATGTCTTGAAATATCTATTTGCTGTGTAACGTTTCTGTAGGTCTTTCATCCGCATCAATCTATTTTTAGGAAACATCACTGCTCCTCTCAATGATTTTGTTGCAAACATCTTGATAATTTAACCTTTACCCACTGTGTTCTTCGGAATAAATTCCTGCAATTAAAAATGGCTGCTTTAGCAGTACACGAAACATTTTTATTGGAAATCAGGAGCTTGTCTAATAGGAAGAGATTATCTATATATTATATACAGAATACAAAGATTATCTATATATTACATACAGAATACAAAGATTATCTATATATTGTATACAGAATACAAAGATTATCTATATATTGTATACAGAATACAAAGATTATCTATATATTATATGCAGAATACAAAGATTATCTATATATTACATACAGAATACAAAGATTATCTATATATTGTATACAGAATACACAGATTATCTATATATTACATACAGAATACACAGATTATCTATATATTATATACAGAATACAAAGATTATCTATATATAATAATTATGCAGAATACAAAGATTATCTATATATTACATACAGAATACAAAGATTATCTATATATTATATACAGAATACAAAGATTATCTATATATTATATACAGACAACAAAGACTATCTATATATCATATACAGACAACAAAGATTATACAGAATACAAAGATTATACAGAATACAAAGATTATCTATATATTATATACAGAATACAAAGATTATCTATATATTATATGCAGAATACAAATATTATCTATATATTATATACAGACAACAAAGACTATCTATATATCATATACAGACAACAAAGATTATACAGAATACAAAGATTATACAGAATACAAAGATTATCTATATATTATATACAGAATACAAAGATTATCTATATATTGTATACAGAATACAAAGATTATCTATATATTGTATACAGAAAACAAAGATTATCTATATATCATATACAGACAACAAAGATTATACAGAATACAAAGATTATACAGAATACAATTCAATTCAATATTTTATTTGGCATTAAACTATATATAGCATATAGCCATTATTACATAATATAGGTAAAGTGTAAGACATGTTACAATAAATTGTTCATAAAACAGTACAAAATGTTTTCAGAGAAGTTACATACCTTCATGAGAATTAGCTATTAACAATATGAGATATATACTTAACATTGAAATAAATTGTTATTGTTGTCCATATGAATATATATGTATACAAATACAGTCATACAATATGTTTTCAGATATGTTATTTACGGTATGTCTTTATTTAGATCTAACAATATAAAAGTTAATCAGAATTTCTTATTTTAAGTGAAAAATATAAATATCTTGACAAATTATTAAGTTCTTTTTCATTTTTAGATGACATTAAAGTTTCCATTTTTTGAAGTGTAGGCCAACGGCAAAAATATGGTTTTAAAAATTTCTTACGAAGGTTATAATATTTTGGACAAACGAGTAAAAAATGGAATTCGTTTTCAATGACATGCATATTGCACTGTTGACATAGTCTATTTCCTCTTGGAACTCCGTTGTGCCTACCAATTTCAATTTCTAGATTATGTGATGATAGCCGAAATTGCGTCAGTTGTACTCTGTATTTATTTATATTTACACAATTTAAGTATTTTTCAAATTCCAGTTCGTACTTATACATACTGTATGATTGTAATTTACTTGAATTATTTATTTCTGAATACCAAGTTTGTTTATATATATCTAATATTCTATTCTTTATTATTTGAAATGATATATTAATTTCGTTTTGCTGTAGCCATAGGAAAGAAAAACCTATTTCGTCAAGTATTTTTTTTATTTGATATGCCCAATTTTTCCCCGTTATATGATATGTTATTATTGACATCTTCTTTCATGACATTATACATTTTTCTTATTAATGAATTATTTTCTGAGCTCAAAATTTTTAACCAATATTTAATCATAATAATTTTACAGTGTATTCTCATCGGATACCGTCCCAGTTCTCCGTAAAGACCAGCTAGATTCGTTGATTAACGCTAAGTGTCTTTCGTAAAAATTTACAATGTATACGCTCAATATCTTTACCCTCGTAATTGCCTATTATTTCGGCGCCATAATTTAGGATTGATCCCACCAAAGAATCAAATAGTTTACATTTTTCTTGTGTAGATAGGTCTATTTGATTAAAAACAATAAATAAATTATGTAAAGCAAATAACGAATGTTGAGCAAGCTTCTTTTGTGTACGATGCATGTGACCGTTTTTGAATAAAGTAATTCCTAGATATTTGAATGATGTCACTACTTCGAGTGGGATATTATTAAAAAGAAAAGTGTATGCAGTATGACGACCTTGTTCGAAAATCATGAATTTTGTTTTGTTAGTGTTAACATTAAATTCCAACTATTGCAATAATTTTGAAGATCATTAAGTAATGACTGTAGCGCTTCCGGCGAATGTGCAAATAGTAAGGCATCAGTGGCAAAAAGAAGTATGAACAGCTTTAATTCATCGAGAGTAAAAATGTCGCCAATATTATCGTCGAAACTGTTTAATATATCATTTACAAAGAATAAAAATAATAGACTGGAGCTGGGATCTCCCTGTTTTGCGCCGATGTTTGATTCAAAAAAGGGTGAAACGCATTTATTATATCTTACAGCTGCTTTAACAGTATTATACATACATTGGATAGCTTAAATGAATTTAGAACCTGCCCTTTCGTTAACAAGTTTTTGAAATATAAATGATCTTTCTAATTTGTCAAAGCATTTTTCAAAATCTATGAATGCACAGTATAGTTTTTTACGAGAGCATAATGTTTTATTAATAATAGCTTGTAGAAGAAAAATACAGTCGACTGTTGATTTTCCCTTCTGAAATCCATATTGATTATCGATGATTTTGTTATATTTGGTAGACCATTTTGTAAGACGATTTAGTAAGACTTGAGAATATATTTTTGCAATGATATTTATAAGTGTTATCCCTCTGTAATTTTTTGCTTCATTAATGTCCCCTCCCTTAAAAATTGGTACTATGATTCCTGACCCCCAGGATGTTGGGTATTCTCCAGATTCAAAAATTCTGTTAAATAATTCTAGTATTATCTGTGAAATAAAAGGAAATGAGTGTTTGTATATTTCCGCGATTAGTGTATCAGGACCACTACTTTTATTATCATTTTGTGAATAGATCGCTTCTTTTATTTCTGACATAGTTATTTTACAATCAAGGTCTTCATCATAATTACCACTGAGTTCCTCATCTATCAAATGTGTATTATCTGAATAATATAAACTTTTGAAAAAATTATACAACTCGTCAATATCAAGATTTTCTGCTGTTGGCTGAGATTTAGAGTATTGTTCTTTAATTTTTTTCCAAAATTGACGAGGCTGAGATTTGCTTAAAATATTAAGATTGTTTTTTTCTTTTAAATTATACTTATACTTTTGTATGCGTTTGATCTTGTTATAATTGTTTTTTGCATTCACAAACTCTTGTCTATAGTTTATATTAGATTTGTTTTTAACAAAAACATTCCTTGCTTTTTTAAATTCTTTTCTTGCGGTGAAACAGTCCGAGTTGAACCATGGTTTTTTATTATAATTGTTTGTTTTAGTTTTATATGTACTTCCAAAAACTTTGTGAGAACAGTCATTCAATACCTGAGTGAAAGAATACAAAAATTATCTATATATTATATACAGAATACAAAGATTATCTATATATTATATGCAGAATACAAAGATTATCTATATATTACATACAGAATACAAAGATTATCTATATATTATATACAGAATACAAAGATTATCTATATATTATATACAGAATACAAAGATTATCTATATATTATATACAGAATACAAAGATTATCTATATATTATATACAGAATACAAAGATTATCAATATATTATATACAGAATACAAAGATTATCTATATATTATATACAGAATACAAAGATTATCTATATATTACATACAGAATACAAAGATTATCAATATATCATATACAGAATACAAAGATTATCTATATATTACATACAGAATACAAAGATTATCAATATATCATATACAGAATACAAAGATTATCTATATATTATATACAGAATACACAGATTATCTATATATTATATACAGAATACAAAGATTATCAATATATTATATACAGAATACAAAGATTATCTATATATTATATACAGAATACAAAGATTATCTATATATTGTATACAGAATACAAAGATTATCTATATATTGTATACAGAATACAAAGATTATCTATATATTGTATACAGAATACAAAGATTATCAATATATTATATACAGAATACAAAGATTATCTATATATTATATACAGAATACAAAGATTATCAATATATTATATACAGAATACAAAGATTATCTATATATTACATACAGAATACACAGATTATCTATATATTATATGCAGAATACAAAGATTATCAATATATTATATAGAATACAAAGATTATCTATATATTATATACAGAATACAAAGATTATCTATATATTGTATACAGAATACAAAGATTATCTATATATTATATGCAGAATACAAAGATTATCTATATATTATATACAGAATACAAAGATTATCTATATATTACATACAGAATACAAAGATTATCTATATATTATATACAGAATACACAGATTATCTATATATTATATGCAGAATACAAAGATTATCTATATATTATATACAGAATACAAAGATTATCAATATACTATATACAGAATACAAAGATTATCTATATATTATATGCAGAATACAAAGATTATCTATATATTATATACAGAATACAAAGATTATCAATATACTATATACAGAATACAAAGATTATCTATATATTATATACAGAATACAAAGATTATCAATATATCATATACAGAATACAAAGATTATCTATATATTACATACAGAATACAAAGATTATCTATATATTATATACAGAATACAAAGATTATCTATATATTGTATACAGAATACAAAGATTATCTATATATTACATACAGAATACAAAGATTATCTATATATTATATACAGAATACAAAGATTATCTATAGAATACAAAGATTATCTATATATTATATACAGAATACAAAGATTATCTATATATTATATACAGAAAACAAAGATTATCTATATATTATATGCAGAATACAAAGATTATCTATATATTATATACAGACAATAGAGCTGTCATTGATTCAGTGCAAAGCATATCAACGATATATCAATATCAAGTAACTAAAATCAACGATACACCGATATATCGATAATATCCTATACTCACTTGTCTGTCATTCATTTTCATACCTGTTTCAATGATTTCAGTCAAAAACATGTTCTGTACAGTGTCTTGTCCACTGCATGATTTTTTCTAGACAATATTTTTTGTCACCATTGCTATGAAATAATTCCACTATATAACAAAAGCATCACATTTGATATAAATAATTGTTTCTGCATATATTTTGGGTGAATTGTATAATTTCTAGACATTTAATTAATAAGTCAAAAGTATCGATTTTTTAAAATTTGTATTGATTATTGATCGACAAAAAAATATCAACGATACATCGATATTGATGACAGCTCTAACAGACAACAAAGATTATCTATATATTATATGCAGAATACAAAGATTATCTATATATTATATACAGAATACAAAGATTATCTATATATTATATGCAGAATACAAAGATTATCTATATAGTATATGCAGGAAACAAAGATTATCTATATATTACATATAGAGTACAAATTTTAAACAATGTGATTATCTTGGCAGCTGTGTGAAATACTGTATAAAAAGTTGTTTTGAATAATATGCAGCCAGAGCAACTCTACCACCAAAACTTTGGTGGTTCTAGTGGTGTACAGGGGGTATGCTCCCCCAGAAATTTTTTGTTTAAGGATGCCCTTTGGGGTGTTTCCCTGGCACGTATTTGGCACAGTTTACAGTCTGCCGCTAGTACATGTTATTTTGGCATATATCAATGATTGTTTTTACAAAGATCTGTGCATTGTAAGTTTAAAGAATAAAAGGTTGACTACATTTTGCATAACAGACTTACAGTTGTACACAAAATATGAATAATCAATATTTGACAAATGAAAAATAAACAATAACTGATGTTGTTACAATTCTTCAGTTTTATTTTTATCTGAAAATTATACATAAACAAATACAAGAAGTATTATATACAAGAACAGTAGTATGGAGATTGTGTTCACAATGGTATGCCGGTATGCTTAATTATCAATTGATCAGAGTCTCATGTTATGTGAATTTTCCAAAAACACAATGCCATTGTACATTTTGGAAATGAAAAAGAGTTTGGTTGATTTTGTTACAATGGAACTGTGTTACACATCCTGATATTTTAATATTTTAAACTATTTGTACCAAAATATTTGTATGTGAACAGCTGTAAAATTAAAAAAAATGTGATGTTCTATTTTGTATATACACATAATTATATATAAACAGTAAAGTGTCCAAAGCCATGCCTATGTCATTTAATGCCAATTAAGATAACTTCACACTTAACTTTTAGTAACCCTACATGTACCTGGTCAATTAACAGCATCCTGTTGTTTAGCATCATGTTTATATATTAATAATGGTGCATAAGGGGCAAGTTGAATATCAAATTGCTAAACATTGACACATGTCTTTTTTTGTTATTTTGTTGTTGTTTTTCCCCCGCTAAGGACCATACATTTGTGGCCAAAATATTCCAACCGTCAATGACGGGAAACGGACAAAAGCCCTCCCAGACAAAAGCCCTCCTGTCAAAAAATGACAAGGCAGACAAAAGCCCTCCCGTGAAAATGACAGGGCAGACAAAAGCCCTCCCGTTAAAATAACAGGGCGGACAAAAGCCCTCCCATGAAAATGACAGGGCAGACAAAAGCCCTCCCGTAACAAAAATAAATATGTATGTTGAATACCTGTATTTTTTTCAATGCACTCAACATATCAAAATTGTTACATATATTATTTGTTGTTTTCAATTGGCCTAAGTATGTGTATGAGCTAGAACCACATTTTACTCTGAATATACCTTCCTGAAATGTTCCAACAAGGTAACTTTTTACACAAATGTCGTTAAAAACAAAGTCACTTTTAAAAGTAATTGACTCAATTTACATGGCACATTATAAAATGTCTTTAACTTTTTTTAATTTATATAATTTTAACTTGTTTTCATCATTTATTACTCTACTAATATTAACTTCACATAGGAGTAATCCGTCATAACTACGTGAATAAATATGCACTTACAGATTTTAGCATGCCTCTCAGGAATGTGCTCAAGCTCATACAAACACGCTTATGCCAATGGAAAACAAAAATATTCATGATTACAATTTTAATATGTTGAGTGCATTGAAAAGAAAATATAAACTATTCAACGTACATATATGTATTTGCTGCGGGAGGGCTTTTGTCTGCCCTGTTATTTTCACGGGAGGGCTTTTGTCCGCTAAGTCATTTTTACGGGAGGGCTTTTGTCTGCCCTGTCATTTTCACGGGAGGGCTTTTGTCTGCCTTGTCAATTTCACGGGAGGGCTTTTTTCAGCCTTGTCACTTTTTGACGGGAGGGATTTTGTCCGGGAGGGCTTTTGTACTACACTCGTCAACGACGGCCTTGTAAATGTAAATATTTTATCAAAAATTACTAAAAATAAAACAAATAATAAGGGAAGGGGTAAAGTGTCTAACTGATTTGTGGGTGTGAAGTGTTCTCAAAATTTGAGGCTCAAAGTGCCAAGGGGGTAGTGTCTTGTTCCCTTGAGAATAGGGTTGATATAAACTGATATAAAAAACAGAACTGCAAACTAATCTAATTATCTATTGATAATCAAAGTATGCCTAGCAACACACAACTGAAAGTTTAAAGCTGAAATCCTGGATCTGCTTCTTGATAATACACCCCATTCACTATTGATTTATTAGGACTATCTGTCAGCGACAGGACTAATTGCACGGGAGAAGCTAAAGTGATCACCAATATGGGACAAATTGCATCATTTTAACTGTTTCAAACGTTTGATTGTTATATACAGTGAACTTTCCGGATGAATACTTGCATGACAATTATCACAACGAAATAGACTGTGAGTGCAATATTTTTGTCAATTAAAACTAAAAGCAAATGCCACAGAAAGTGCAAATCTATCGATAAAAATAATCTAGTTAGAAATAAATATCCGGCTACCATACAAGTACAACATAAATGCAATTACAATTCATTAACAGCTGGATATTTGAGAACAATGTCTTGCAAAAAAATCTTACTTTCAGCAAAAGTGTTCTTTTATCAATTTTATTTAATTAATTAAAACAAAACGCTAAAATGTTAAATTTTAGTAGGATTTTTACCTTTACACCGTTAAAGATGAACGCAACTAAATATTTTACCTTGACAGGTCGTACATTACTAAATAATTTCCTTCCATTTTGGCATTGATCAGTGTGTTACACCAATGTGACTAAAGTTCTACTTATTTCTTACATGTATATCTGTCACGGGTCGTTTTATTTATTATGTTAATTGTTCATTTTGCCGTGCACTGTTCGTCATTTAGTCGCGGGAAATGTATTCTTAATGTCCGCGCATGCGTCGATTATCGTTTGTCTCCGTGGCGTCTGTTATCGTCTGCTATTGTATTGTATCGGATGGTTCCGTAACTACGCTTATGAGCGGAAATTCACGGAAACGGCCGAAACAATTCAACTATGTCTTTTTCTCGTGCAATTTTGTGAACTGTTTTTGTATGTCCAATCGTTTTGTACGTTGTATGAAAGAGTTTTGAGAGAAAGTTTTAGATTGGTTTTTAACATTTCCTTTCTTCCAAATTCCCGCGAACTTTCCTTCTTCACTTCACTTCGTCTTTATTCTCTTACGAGTTAAGATATACTATTCTACTTAGTACATAAATTCTTTAAGTTTATTTAATAGAATTTTTGGAAATAACTTATTATTAAGTTATTTATTGAGACGCTGTGGTAAGATTATTTTCATTTGATTCATTTACTTGAAATAATTCTTATTTACATCGTTCAATTGTTGTATTGTTGTATTTTATGTATGTTTTAATTAACTTGTATTATAATCATGTATTTATGTTTTTAGGCTTTATCTTCGTATTATATATTAAATTGACGAACCTACGCCAGGAGTGTATTATTAATTCTACCCTGTGACATTGGTGGCCAGTGTGGGGGTGACATATCTGATAACCACCTTTTATGTTTCGCCTTCATTATGATTCAGATTTCTCGAAAAAGCTATTTTTAGTCATGCAATCAAACTGGTTCAACATCACTAATTCCGCGTCATCACTTATTTCACAGTAATGGCATATTTTTTATGTGACCAGTGTTAAAATTGGTCAGAATTGACATATTTTATTCAAACACATAAACAACAAAGTTTTTGTGCAAAATATTTTAAATCTATAGATTTTTACTTAAAACAGAACAACATTTTACAAACTTCTGCAAAAATTTGTGCATACGTCTGAAACAATCATCATTTTCTAAATGTTCTTATTTGTTGAAAAAATGAATTTTGAGTTACAATGTAAAGATACTTTAAATATTTAAAATTATGCAAAATAACATGTAGAAATTTAAACTGAAACATGAAAAAAAAACACACAAAAAAAAAAACACCATTACCGCGATTTAAATGACAATTGACATACGTACTGTTTTCAAAATGGCCGAAATATGGTCTACGTCTGGCTCATTTAAACTGATTTTGACTAAATATATTGTTGTTTCCTTGTGCCATACAGCAGAAAATACCTATATGTTACAGCTTAATATGACAATTTTTGTACCAAAAACCTGTAAATGATGTCAAGCTGTAAAAATCGAAATATTGTATAGAATTCACAAAAGTTTATTATTCCTGTGGTCATATATACTGCGTTTCAGCACTTGAAGTGTATACATGTCTGATATCTAGAACGCACATTAATTATTTGAAATATTCACTAAATACATTCAGTGTTCTACTACGTAGTGTGTATAGCAATGTTTTGGCGTGATTTATTAAAACATTAGTTGCAAATATTTTCTTCTTTTCCTTTTAGGAACTTTTGTATGATATGTTTATTCTATGTACATATGTATATGTATTTTATACAGCTAAGCTCAGTAAGGAACGCATGGAATTTGTATTAAAGATGTTGCTGGTTCGATTCTCAGACAAGGCGAATTTCTCTGCGAGACTTGATTTCGGGCGTTGGCTTTAATATCTTATTGTCTCTGACCGCTGATTCAGAAATCACGTGTGATTAGTTTGTCTTTTAGAAATAAGAATAATGATAACTGGTTAGTTATCCCAGAAAACCGGTTAGGTGGACATACCACCAAGATATGATCAAATTTTGTTTAACAGAAACTCCTGTATTGCTTTATTCTCCTTAAATGACACTGTGCTGAACATGATAAATTCTTATTAAATAAAGTGCCTGTCTTACGGAAATCATTTACTGATTATCATGTGTTATCTTTATGAGTTTTCATTTAATGATAAACTGCATGTTCTTAACACCAAACGTGACTTTTATTGATATACTGATAAACTTCAATATATATTTTTTGCAGGTATCTTTTTGGGAGATTCATGTATGTGTGAATGAACGCCGAAGAAGCTTTTTCCAAAATCAGTCAGAACTACATAAACACGATTTTTCTAACGTTTCTTTTATTGAAAATTAAAGTTACCTATCAACAAGTAAAACTGATATTCTTCCTGGATCTAGTTATGACGTCACTGATATCATATCTATTGTCATTGTTTGTGAAGACAAATTCTAATATTCGGCAGAACAAGCATAATATACCATTACCTACTATCTGTCACCTGGAAATCCCTGATTCACTTATAAGAGATCGAGCAGTTTTTGTAATGGGCGACATACATGGCTGTCACGAGGAAATGTGTGAAATGATAGACAACGCTAAACGCATAGAAAATGATCCGATTTTCGTATTTGTAGGGGATCTAGTTAACAAAGGCCCAGACAGCGTCGAGGTTGTGCGTGCAATAAGAGAAATGTCCCTCAGTTGTAATGCTTTTGCCGTCCGTGGAAATCATGATGAAAGTGCTCTTAGCCAACACAGACATTTCAAACTTGACCCTGAGTATGAACTTCCAGATAAGTATCAATGGATAAAGGGATTAAACGACGATGATATTGATTTTTTAAATGCTCTACCTTATACCATATCAATACCGTGTCTCAATGCCTTGGTTGTACACGGCGGATTAGTTCCAGGAAAGCCACTAGATAGACAGAAATTGAATGACTTAACCAACATGAGAAATGTGATAGATGCCGGTGACCCTTTTGAAAGTGAAGGACTTATTGGATATAATAAATGTGACAAGGGAGTTGCTTGGGCTAACATGTGGCCCGGTCCTGAACACGTTTATTTTGGTCACGATGCCAGAAGAAAATTGCAGCTTGCACAATATGCGACAGGTCTCGATACGGGTTGTTGCTATGGAGAATTCTTAACGGGTGTGTTCGTAAATAAATCTCGCCAGCGCCTTACAGTAAATTCCAAACAAACATTTTCGTTTGATGAAGAATAAACAAAGATATTGTTTGAGTGAACATTTGTAAAAACATCAAACAACTCATTCCTTGTCTATTTACAGTTGACATATCATTTCTATGTATATTTTATTTTCGTTTACATGTGTTTACTTTAGGTATTGAAATTGGGTATGGATGATTGCTAAAACAGAATTTACATTCCAAAGTTTTCTACTGACACATTATTTCTTTGATTAGTTTTTGTGTCGCCTCTACGGAGTAGTGGCGACATATAGGGATCACTTCTCCGTCGTCTGTCTGTCCGTCCGTCTGCCCGTCCGTCACAAAACTTGTCCGGACTACTCCTCATAAACTACTGGTGCAATTTCATCCAATCTTTACAGGAATGATCAGTACCAAGTCTAGTTGTGCATATTGTCAGCATTTTCCGGTTCAATGATTTTTTGTCAGAGTTATGGCCCTTTAATAATTTTTATTTTTAAAGTTTGTCCGGACTACTTCTCTTATACCACTAATGCAATTTCAATGAAACTTTACAGGATTGATCTGTAGCTCAAGTCCTTGCGCATATTGCACGGGTTTTCCGGTTGAATGATTTTTGGCCGAGTTATGGCCCTTTGATAAAAAGGTGTTTTTTTCTGTGTGTTGCCAGATACAAAAAAGCTTGTCCGGACTACTCCTCATAAACTACTGGTGCAATTTTATCCAAACTTTACAGGAATGATCAGTACCAAGTCTACTTGTGCACTGTACGTCTGTCTGTCCGTCTGTCATAAAACTTGTCCCAACAAGAAATTGGCCATCATGAGGCGACACATATGTGATCACTGATCGCTCTTGCATTTGTTTGAATTTTTTGGGACTTTTTATGTTATCGTGTTGTACATGTGTGTCCGTCTGTCTGTCTGTTCGTCCGACCTTACGAAAAGATACTTATGTGGCTACAGAAAAAATAGGTAACTGTATTTTTTCATCGATGCTATTTATTCCTTAAGCTGTTATACAGATATTTCCCTTAATGTAACTTAAAGGTAAAACGGAGTAGCAAAGTACTGTCCCGTCTGTCCGACCGTTTGTCCGTTAACTAATGGTTTACGCAAAATACTTTTAATGGATTTCAATGATTGTGTTTATTATAGCAATATACAGGTAAAGTCCAATTTTTGCTATAATCAGTTTATTAAGTTTTATGCCCCTTTGAAGCAAATTGTCCGTGAAATTAATAGTCAGCAGGATAACGTTTGAGGAAGATTTCAATGATTGTGTTTATAGTTGACATGCATGTACGTTATAAATGTTATAAATGTCAAAATATGGATCAAGTTTGATTTTTTGTGCAATCAATTTATCATTGACAAAGTTATGCTCCTTTATATGCAAACAAGTAAATTCAATTATCTTCTATGGCTAATGTGCAATTTACTCAAAATATTGTTTTGCCAATTCAACGGAAAAGGGCATCATTAATTTAATAAGCTATATATCTATCTTAAAAGCATATTTTTGTCTCTGATACCTTCTTAAAATTTGCCCTCGGGCTTATGTTGCCCGATTCAGTGGAGCTCTCGTTTTAAATGATTTATGAAAAAGTATTTAGCACTGTACTAAAACAAAACAAGATTGCATTTGTAAAAAATGCCATGCCACCGCATAAATACAACACTAAATAGTAATGTAGGAACACATTTTTTTTGTTTCTATACAGATTGCCATAATGCATAGATCACTTATCTATCTGTTATTATAAGATTAGTACCTTTAGACAATAAGATTTTTATTTTTTTACTTTATGACATAGTGACTGAAAATCAATGATCCCCAGGGGCGGGGCCAATTTTGACCCCAGGGCTTTAATTTGAATAATCTTGCTAAAGGTTCACTACACAATGTTTACTGCAAAATGTCTCACCTCTAACCTTTGTCAATCGAGAAGATGATTTTTTAAAAAATTTACTATATACATGTAAGGAAAACCTATGACCCCGGGGCAGGGCTAGTTTTGACACTTGAGGCAAAATTTGAACAACTTTGGTAGAGTACCTATAGATGATATCATATACCAAATATCAAAGCTCTAAGCCTTGTACCTTCAGACAATAAGACTTTTTAATTTTTTACTATATGTACATAGTGAAAATCAATGACCCCCGGGAGTGAGGCCAATTTTGACCCCAGGGCTATAATTTGTTCAATCTTGCTAGAGGTTCACTACACAATGTTTCATGCAAAATATCTAACCTCTAGCCTTTGTCAATTAAGAGAAGATGATTTTTTAAGTTTTTACTATATACATATGAGGAAAACCTATGACCCTCGGGGCAGGGCTAATTTTGACACTATAGGCAAAATTTGAACAACTTTGGTAGAGTACCTATAGATAATAACACATACCAAATATCAAACCTCTAAGCCTTGTATCTTCAGACAATACGATTTTTTTATTTTTTTACTATATGAAAATCAATGACCCCCCAGGGCGGGGCCAATTTTGACCCCAGGGCTATAATTTGTACAATCTTGCTAAAGGTTCACTACACAATGTTTCATGCAAAATATCTAACCTCTGGCCTTTTTGAATTTAGAGAAGATGATTTTTTTAAGTTTTTACTATATACATATATGAAAAACCTATGACCCCCGGGTCGGGGCTCATTTTGACACAAGAGTCAAAATTTGAACTACTTTGGTAGAGTACCTATAGATAATAACACATGCTAAATATCAAACCTCTAAGCCTGGTACCTTCAGACAAGAAGGTATTTTAAGTTTTTACTATATGTACATATAGTGAAAATCAATGACCCCCAGGGCGGGGCCGATTTGGACCCCAGGGCTATAATTTGAACAATCTTGGTAGAGGTTTACCAGACAATGCCTTATGCAAAATATCAAAGCTCTAGGCCTTTTGGGTCTTTACAAGAAGATTTTTATAAATTTATTCTTATAATTCCTTTTGGTTGCCATGGCAACCAGAATTCTGCATGGAATGAAATTCTTTGAACAACTTTGGAAGCCCTTCACCCAAAGATCAATCCTGCCAAGTTTGGTTGAAATTGGACTAGTGGTTTTTCACAAGAAGATTTTTTAAGTTCACTATATAATCTATATAACACACACACACACAAACACACACACACAAACACACACACAGGTGAATCGCTAAATGCCACCGCATCGCAGATGCTGCGGTGGCATAAAAAATACTGTGAAGATAGTGAATCCCCTCAAACATAAATAATAAATTTGATAATGATAACGCGTTGCATGATCAAACTTTTCCAACGCTTGCAAATGGAACGTGCATATCTCTTCGTTTCAATGGCAATCGGAACATATTCGGCTATTATCTGTCCTTATCCGAAGACTGACGGGAAGGGCCGAAAAGTTGCGAATGTATTCAATGGTTCATTATCCCGCCAAAAGAAAAATTAAAAAAAGAATAAGAAAAACAAATACAGAACAAAGTTTAATTGCTCACTGCATATAATTGTTAATAAAACAAAGTGGTTTTCGTGCCTTATAAGTACGACATAAATCTTCTTTATCTCAAAGATTTAAATATTATACATATTACAATATAGAAAAGCTTTATAAGTTTATACACGTATATACATAATGTTGGCTAGAAGTCAGTTCGACTGTATTTATTGTCATAAATAAGTACACACAAGTGGCTTATACAAATTTACAAATCCTTTAAAGGATTTGTAAATTTGTATAAGCCACATGAATGAGAATAAGACTAAAACAGTAAACACCAGTTAAAAATCGTGAAACAAACATTAAATAAAGATTGTAATAAAATTGTTAAACAATCTGTTGATAAAAATAAATTACTACTACGATGGTTTATCATTGAATTGAAACATGTCTAATAAAAAGAAGTTCTGTGTTGTACAATAAATGATAATCTTGTGCAAACGTCATCATGCTCTTTGTTTGCTGTTTGAAAGTTGATAAGATAACAAGTGTTTCTGGTAATGTTTATAATTATGATTGCGTAAAGACAAAGCCCTCCACTTAGCCATATTACATGTATGTAATATAGACATATAGCACACGAAAGGGTATAAAATGTATACAGGTGTCTATTTCAATAATTCTCTTGCAAGATTTTTAAAGACTTATCTAAAACTCTGATCATTGATCAAATATGAGAATAAATTATTATGAAAACATTTGGGACGATTTAGGGGTCGAGTTTGTGACGAGACGAGTTGACCAAAAATGGTTAATAGCTGTCCACGGGACGACTTAACCAAGAAAACTCGTTTTGATTATCTGTGCTCGTTAAAAAAACATGTAGTCAATTGTTTTAAGAGTGATAAAGTAATTGTAGTTTCGATGTACTCCAGGTATATGAAAAATTGGTATATACCTTCCCGATAATAATGCAGCAAAGGGAATCCCCATGTAAAGTAGAAAAAGTGAAAGGGGCAATCCCCTTGTACAAGTTTATCTACAAAGGTTTAATATTATCTGATAACATTGTTAACCGATAGGTAATAGGCAATTAAATCTCAAATCAAAAGAGGACATATGTTCAATATACATGTCGGTCAATCTTTGTGTCTTTTACTCTTGGTATATTGCATTTTTGAAGGATATCTACTTGTTTTGAACAAAGTGAGTAAAATTTGAATATTTCTTTCTTTTTATACGCTTTGTCGCCGCTTTGTCCGTCCGCATTACACTATTGTCGAAAACTATTGAAGGAATTTGACTTAAACTCCACAAAGTTATAGAGATCAGTGATAGGAAGTACATGTACAGTGTACAAATTCTACCTTGCTTAGTTTTTATATTTTTTCCTTTGTGTTATTTGATTTTTTTAATAATGCTTGTCCGGATTAATACTTCTCCTCAACTGTCAATGATATCTTTATGAAACTTCATACAGTTTTCGAGACTAAGAAGAGGAAGTTCAATGTCAAAGAATATTAGCTCTATATAACTTAGTTTTTGAATAATCTCTCTATAATTTAAAGAAATTATCTACAGTTTTATGAAAATTTAATCCTTTCATAGAATTTTCTAAATTTTTTGTATGATTAGTAAACTTTAATAGCGAATTCAGAAATAAAAAGAAGCTGTCACCCAAGTGAAGAATGCCCCCGAAAAGGTTTCTTAGGCATGCAGGTATTATGAAAAGAAAAGAGAATGAAAGTAACTAATTGCTTAATATTGTACTTTGTATTATTGAACGTGTAATTCTAATTGTGATAGCGTGAACCTTCAAAATATAAGTGTGACTTTGACCTCTGATGAAGGGACGTGGTTCTTGGACGCGACAGAATGTTGTTTTGAGATAGACATCTGTGCCAAGTTATTTCAAAATCCCTCAATGCATGAACAAGTTACAGTCTGGACATGATTGTTGTGTAAGTTGGGGACACACGGACGGACAGACGGACATGAGCCTTAGCCGCGACACATTGTCTTGATGTGGTAGACATTTGTGCCAAGTTATTTTAAAATCCTTCCATGCATGACAAAGTTACAGTCCGGACATGAATGTGTATCTTCAAACTCTTCTCGAGAGAATGAGTACCTTCAAACTATAAGTGTGACCTTGACCTTGAAGGTAGGGACATGGGTCTTAGTCGCGACATGTCGTCTTGATGTGGTAGACATTTATGCCTAGTTATTTTAAAATCCTTCGATGCATGACAAAGTTACAGTCCGGACACAAATGTGTGTACCTATAAACTCTTATTGTGATAAAGTGAAACTTCAAAATGTTAGTGTGACCTTGACCTTTGAGGTAGGGACGTGATTATTGGACGCGACACATCGTCTCTATGTGGTAGACATTTATGCCAAGTTATTCTAAAATCCTTCGATGCATGACAAAGTTACAGCCCGGACACGATTGTGTGTACCTATTTATTCTAATTGTGATAATGTGAAACTTCAAAATGTTAGTGTGACCTTGACCTTTGAGGTAGGAACGGAATTCTTGGTCGCGGCACATCGTCTTGATGTGGTAGACACCTATGCCTTGTTATTCTAAAATCATTCGATGCATGATATAAAGTTACAGTCCGGACACAAATGTGTGTACCTATTTACTCTACTTTGAGGTAGGGACGTGTTTCTTGGACGCGACACATCGTCTTGTATGGTAGACATTTGTGCCAAGTTATTTCAAAATCCCTCAATGTATGACAAAGTTACAGTCCGGACAAGAACGAAGTGGGGACGGACAGACAGACAGATGGACGAACGGACGGTGCGATTTTAATATGCCTCCCTTCGGCGGCATAAAAGTATATGTTGACGTGTTGGATTTCTTGTAAAATGGCAGTTTCCATGGTAAATGTGTGACGATTGTTCTATTCTGCCTAGATTCTATAATGATTTAGTGGTTTTGTACCTAAATTGTCGGTGAATTAAATTGTAAACAAATATGTTATCCTGTGTTTAAATGTATAGTTTGATCTTTTATAAATAAGTAAATAATACATAAAAACTAAATGAATAGAATTAACAACTTATTCGTAGCAATTATTTGATATAACGGGCATATTTTTGTTATTAGTAAAATATCAGAACAATTCGTACTTAAAATCATTCGAACTCAATGCCATTCGTACCAATATTCGAACCATTATCAATATCTCTTGGATGCTTGATTTCCTCAACTTCAGTAAACGATCATTAAATATAACTACATAATTGGGTATAAATAGAGCTCAAAGCTGTGGACGATTAGTCTCTGTCCAGCTGCCGAAGTGTCAACACCACAGAAATAATTAATTAATATTTTAGTTTAATTACTTGTGTTCTTGCACTATTTACGAAGTATTTCAATTGCATCAATTTAACATTGCGTTAGGTGTAATTGTTTTTACTAAAGTATTGAAAACTCGATATCCGAGTGGTTTTTCTATATATATTAAATAGCCTAAAAAGTGTCACCCCAATTTTATATCAAGTTCAAGGACCACTTATTATCTTTCAAGCATATTACTGTTATAATATTAGTTAATTTAACTTGATTCCAAAGTTTAAACAAATTATTGTATAATCATTTGTAACCAATCAACTGGCAAAGTAGCCATAAGAAAAATTATATATAACAGCTAGCCCGTGCACGTTACAAATGCATATCTCAAAATAGCAAAACTGTGTTATAATAAATAGAACATGTATAACATATCTTAATACACACAAAAAGCATAATTCTATGCAAAGATAACCTTATCTAATGATTCTGTATGAAACAAATGATAATCTGAACATATTTCTTTAAAAAATGAGTTTTTCATGCTTCTTAACTGAACAAAAAATGAGAAAAATGAACACGAATTCTGTAAATGATTAAAGATATCGAAAAAATTTCTTTCATAGGATTTTCTAAATTTTGTGTGTGTTGTGTTAAATTAATTGGCGAATTTAAAAAGAAAAAGAAAAATATATGTTGACGTGTTGCAAAATTTCTTGCAAAATGGCAGTTTCATGGTACCCGTTTACATTGTATCTCAAAACTGTCAAAATAGAAAAAAAATGTTTAAGACAGCTTAATACACGCACGCATTATTTCATACAAAACTGTAAAAGAATTTTAATAGAGTTATGGTTGTCGGCAATTAAAGATAGTTGTGGTTCTTGTACGTTGCATTTCCTTTCACTGTGGTTGACCATTGATGAAGTTTTATTGCATTACCCTGTAATAGGTCCAGATATAGTTACGGTTCTTGAGCACTGCACTTCCACTCATTGCGCTTGACAATTGTATGAAGTTGCATTGAATTCCAAACATTACTTTTTAAGTTATGCATCAGACAAGGTAAATGAACAAAATGCAATAACTCTGCAAATACTGAAGATGGAGTTATGATTATTGCAAACTGTACGCACTTCCTCTCATTGTGCTTGACCATTGTATGAAGTTGTATTGAATTACAACTACTAGTTTTCAAGTTATGCACTGGACAAAAAAAGTAACAAAGGGCAATAACTATGTTATTAATCCAAATAGAATTATGGTTCTTGAGGACTGCACTTCATTTAACAACGCTTGACCATTGTATGAAGTTTCATTGAATTCAAACCATTAATTATCAAGTTATGCACTGGACAGTAAAAAGTTTTAAAGGGCAATAACTCTAAAATTAGTCAAGAGAGAGTTATGGTTCCTGTATACTGTGCTTCCTCTCAATATACTTGACTATTGGACAAATTTGTATTCAATTCCAACCAGTAGATTTCATGTTATACTCTGCGACAAGGAAAAGTAACAAAGGGAAATCACTCTATAATTACTCTGGATAGAGTTATGATTCTTGTACACTGCACTTCCACTTATTGTGCTTAAACATTGTATGAAGTTGCATTGAATTCCAACCATTAGTTTTCAAGTTATTGCAGTGGACAAGAAAAGTAATGAAGGGCATAGACTCTGTGATTAGTCAGGATGGAGTTATAGTTCTTGTGCACTGCTCTTTCTCTCAACGTGCTAGGCCATTGTATGATGTTTTATTGAATTCCAACAAGTGGTTTGCAAGTTATGCTCCGGACAAGGAAAATGCAACGGAAAAGTAACAAAGGGCAATAACTCTATTACTACTTTACATGGGGTTTTGTGCACTGAATTTACTTTTATTGTGCTTGACCATTGTATGAAGTTGTTTTGAATTCCAACCAGTACTTTTCAAGTTATGCTTCGGACAAGGAAAAAAAAACAAAGGGCAGTAACTCTGTAAGTAGTTAAAATGGAGTTATGGTTCTTGTGCACTGCACTTCCTCTAAATGTGATTGACCATTGTATGAAGTTGTATTGAATTCCAACTAGTGGTTTTCAAGTTAAAACAAGTTAAAACAATGGAAAAGTGACAAAGGGTCATTACTCTGAAATTACTTTAGATACAGTTATGGTTCTTGTGCACTGCACTTCCTCTAAATGTGCTTGACCATTGTATGCAATTGTATTGAATTCCAACTAGTGGTTTCAAGTTATGCTCGGGATAAGATAAAAACAATGGAAAAGTAACAAAGGGCAATAACTATGTAATTACTTTATATAGAGTTATGATTTTTGTGCACTGCAAGTCCTCTTATTGTGCTTGACAATTGTATAAAGTTTTTTTTGAATTCCAACCAGTAGTTTTCAAGTTATGCTCCGGACAAGAAAAAGTAACAAAGGGCAATAACTCTGTAATTAGACAAGGTGGAGTTATGGTTCTTGTGCACTGCACTTTATCTCAATGTGCTTGATCATTGTATGAAGTTGTATTGAATTCCAACCATTAGTCTTGAAGTTATGCTCCGGACAATGAAATGGACCGCTGGACCGACGACCAACCGACCGACCACCGTGTTACTTCGTTTCGGGGTATAAAAATGAGAAAAATTAACACGAATTCTGTAAATAATTAAAGTTATCGAAAAATTTAATTCATAGAATTTTCTACAGTTTTGATATATCAAGTAAAGTTTTATGGTGGATTAAAAAAAAAGAAATAGAAATATAGGTTGACGTGTTAGTTATTTTGTAAACGGGCAGTTTCCAACCAGCTCCGAGGTTTGGCTTGCCCGGCTATAGACTACACGTGTATATTTAAAAAGAAAATAAAGTTTCCTTTTAAAAGGAAAGGCTTGCACAGTTGTGCCTTCATCCAAAC